CAAACACGACGCACAGGCAAAAACGACGCACAGGCAAACACGACGCACAGGCAAACACGACACAGGCAAACACGACGCACAGGCAAACGACGCACAGGCAAACCGGCACAAGCAAAACACGACGCGCAGGCAAACACGACACCGCAGGCAAACCCGACACGCAGGCAAACACGACACGCATGAGCAAACACGACACACAGGCAAACACGACACACAGGCAAACACGACACACAGGCAAACGACACACAGGCAAACACGACACACAGGCAAACACGACACACAGGCAAACAGACACACGAGGCAAACACGACACGCAGGCAAACGACACGCAGGCAAACACAGAGACGCAGGCAAACAGAGACGCAGGCAAACACGACGCACAGGCAAACACGACGCACAGGCAAACACGACGCACAGGCAAACAGACGCACAGGCAAACACGACACACAGGCAAACACGACGCACAGGCAAACACGACGCACAGACCAAACACGACGCACAGAAAACACGACGCACAGGCAAACACGACACGCAGGCAAACACGACACGCAGGCAAACACGACACACAGTTAAACACGACACACAGGCAAACACGACACACAGGCAAACACGACACTCAAAAGATACATCAATGACTATAGTGTGTTTCTGTGACTACCAAGGGTTACCTTCCACCCCCAGGAGTGAGCCTGTTCGACAAGAAGACAACGCTCACAAGAAAACCTAGAGAATAGGCAAGTGGTAAAGACACAACTCTAAATAATGGAGTGTTATGGAGGAATCTAGAAATATTAGTGGAAGGAAGCCAGAAACTCATAGGGAGAGAGAGAGAGAGAGAGAGAGAGAGTGTTCCTCGCCTTTTCTTAAGAGTGTAATGAGAGCTCACCCCGTGTTCCCTCTCCACCCAGTGCTCAAATGTTTGCCCAAAAATTGAGGTGAAAACAAGACTGAAAAAAAAATTGTTTGTTTGAGGCATTATGTTTCAATGGTTTGGTTAACCTTCCCTGAGAGTGGGGCCAATTTGAGTGAACAAGCACTAATTTTTACACAGGTAGAGTTTGGTGAGTAAAATTTACCTGTGGAAGTAGTGTAGTGTATTTGGCACATTTGGGGCCCTTTAGATATTTTTGGGGGGTGGGTGGGGGAGAAGTGGGGGAGAAGGTGGGGGAGAGGGTTGGGTGGAGAGGGTGGGGGGTTGTTGGAAAAACACGATATTAATTGGCAGTTTTTTTTAGAGTGGACGTAGTTATTTGCCTAATTCATTTATTTTTGTGATTTCGGTAATTTTTTCTTTTTTTTTTTTAAGGGCGGGGCAGGTGTTTCATTAAAATATTTTGGGTGTATCTTGTACTTAGTAATTCATCCAATATCACTTCTGTTGTGTTATTTTCTCCCATGTCCTCCACGTATCCACAAGATTATATTCTTTACGTGTCCTAAATGGTCATATTTTAATTACATAACCTTTACTTGTCATCACATCATTCTTCGTATGTCCTACATCCACATCTTATTATTACAGGCGTGTCCCTCTAGCTGCTGCCCATATCACCCTCCCTCTTGTCCACCCATCTATCTTGTTGCTATCGTCTCCTTCGCCACACACACACACATTATTCTCCTTTTTCTTTCTCACCTTTTTACCCTATCTATTTTATCCCCTGCCACGCTCTCCTCGTCTTTCTTCCATCTTCTCTTTTATCCTGTTATCACTCGTTCCTTCATAATACGCGAGTTATTATTCCTTCCCGCCTCTGACTACTCTTTCAACCAGCCATACGTGATATCCTACTGCCTTAACTTTGACGGAGAACAGTCGAGACGGTTACTCCTTCCCCTGCAGTAGAGTACATGTGTGTGTGTGTGTGTGTGTGTGTGTGTGTGTGTGTGTGTCAGGGGCTCTTTCATCTCTTGTGTACAGTATGGCGAAGTAATGTGTTTCAATTTACTCAATAATACTCTAACATTACTCTGTTACCATCTTTATTAAATCATTTCCTATTTCCTGTTATTCTTATTATACGTCATCTTCAAGCTTCTGTTACCCATTGTCATGTCTGTTAAATACAGCTTCTTATTTTCCCAATAGTAAATAAACTGATTCATAACCCGTATTTATAGAGCACCTGAAGCCTCAATCACTACATCACAGCCTCTCGGCACATCCCTACAGACACCCCACCTACAGGCACCCCACCCACAGGCACCCCTCCTACAGGCACACCCCCTACAGACACCCCACCCACAGGCACACCCCTATAGGCACCCTCCTCCCACAGGCACCCCTCCTACAGGCACCCCACCCACAGGCACACCCTCTAGGCACCCTCCTACAGGCACCCCACCCACAAGCACCCCTCCTACAGGCACCCCTCCTACGCACCCCACCCACAGGCACCCCTCCTACAAACACCCCTCCTACAGTTTAACAGAGAATGAATCTTTCTCCCCCCTCCTCCTCGCCTCTTACTCTTCCTTCCCTCTCTTACACACCTCTTCGTCTTCATTCCTCTCTCTCTCCTTCTCTACGCCTCTCCCTATCCCTCCTTCTCCACGCCTCTCGCTCTTCCTTCCTTCCTTCTCAACACCTCTTACTCTTCCCTCCTCTCCCTCTTCCTCCGCGCATCATCAGTTTTTCTTCCCTCTTCCTCCACACCCTCTTACTCTTCCTTCCTTCTCCTCCACGAATCTTTCTCTTCCTTCCTTCTCCTCCCACCTCCTACTCTTCCTGCCTTCTCTTCCTTCATCTCCTCCACACCTCTTACTCTTCCTTCCTTCTCCTCCACTCTTTCTCTTCCTTCCTACTCCTCCACACCTCTTACTCTTCCCTTCCTCCTCCTCTACCCTCTTCTCTTCCTTCCTCCTCCTCCACACCTCTTACTCTTCCTTCCCTACTCCTCCACCTCTTTCTCCTTCCTCCTCTACACCTCTTACTCTTCCTTCCTCCTCCTCCTCTACTCCTTACTCTTCCTTCCTCCTCCTCTACACCTCTTACTCTTTCTTCGTTCCTCCTCCTCTACACCTCTTACTCTTCCTTCCCTCTCCTCCCCTCACACCTCTTACTCTTTCTTCTTCCTTCCTCCTCCTCCTCGACACCTCTTACTCTTTCTTCCTTCCTTCCTCCTCCTCTACACCTCTTACTCTTCCTTCCTTCCTCCTCCTCTACACCTGTTACTCTTTCTTCTTCCTTCCTCCTCCTCTACACCTGTTACTCTTCCTTCCTTCCTCCTCCCTCTACCTCTTACTCTTCCCTCCTCCTCCTCCTCCTCTACACCTGTTACTCTTTCTTCCTTCCTTCCTCCTCTACACCTCTTACTCTTTCAGGTCTCTCTTGACTCTTACGTTCAGCATTATTCCTCTCTTTATCATTATTTTCTTACAATTACCCTAACATCTTCCCAGGAACTTCATATTGCCCCACTTCCATCTTACTATTTATACCTGATCAAATTTCCCCCCCATATTTTTTTAACCAAGTCGGAAATAATCAATTCATCTCCTTCTCTAAATGTGGTTAATGTCATTCACCTTTAACTTACTCTTCCCCCGCTATAGATTAGAATTCTCTCTCTCTCTCTCTCTCTCTCTCTCTCTCTCTCTCTCTCTCTCATCTACAAGAGTAACAGACCTCCTCTCACTATTAAGATAAACTTAGGATTACCTCTCACACTCTCCTTCTCACATCCTCCCTCTCACACACTCCTCCCTCTCACATCCCACCTCTCATACCCATCTCTCACACCTCCTTCTCACACTCCTCCAACTTACACCCCACCTCTCACACACACTCCTCCTCCAACTTACACCCCACCTCTCACACACTCACTCCTCCAACTTCCACCCCACCTCTCACACCTCACTCCTCAACTACCCCCCTCACACACTCACTCCTCCAACTTCCACCCCACCTCTCACCTCCTCCTCCAACTACCCCCACCTCACACCTCCTCCTCAACTTCCCACCCCCACCTCTCACACACTCACTCCTCCAACTTAAACCCCCACCTCTCACACCATCCCATCTATTGCTAAAATAATAAACAACTCCTGATTTATGTACTGTACAGCCCTGTAAATGTATTCAATGCATATCATTATGTCTAAATCAAATTAAGTCTGTATATTTTCAGCTGTAACTCTATTAATAAACCGTTTATTATTATTATTATTATTATTATTATTATTATTATTATTATTATTATTATTACATCTCTCACACTCACCATGGTAACTCGACAGGCTACCTGGTGAATTATCGGACCAACTGAAAAGGCTAATGTTTTGTATTTCGCCTAATAGCTTGTTACTATGGCCACCAACAACAACAACATTAATGGAAGTGTTCTTGGCCTATGAGGAATCAAGTCTCGTATTTTAAGGGATTAATGAAAATGTCAAAGCATCCGATCGATTTCTTAAGGGTGTTCCGTTGGGTAGGAGGGATTTGGGATGAAACTTCGGGAATATATTTGACGAATGAGATAAAAAGTTTGAAGAATTATTACACAGCGTTTTACAATGAATAATGGCGATAGTTACGTAAATTCGACTCGTTTGTGTGTGTGTGGGTGTGTGTGGGTGGGTGTGTGGTGTGTGTGTGTGTGTGTGTGTGGTGTGGGTGTGTGTGTGTGGGTGTGGGTTGTGTGTGTTTGTGTGGGGTGTGGGGTGTGTGTGTGTGTGTGTGTTCCCTTCCCCTTTATCGTCCACTGACGGTGGATGGTTCTGCACGGTCAACAGTAGAGGCGTGTGAGAACATGACCACATATGTCAGGGTGATACGAGGCCCTCATTCGACTGATGACAGTATATCATTCATACGCACGCACAGTGGTTTTGAGTCGACGAATGCCGGTAGGTAGATAGTTCGACACGAGAGCCTTCACGGTTGTTGAAAGTATTGACGGCTGGCAGATCGACATCGAAAAAGGTCACACAATGGCTTGAAGTCGACAGATGCCTCAATCTGGTTTTAGCTAGTTGAATACTCTGTTTATCGGCAGAAAAAGGACGATGAAAGACCGTCGACACAATGCTTTCACGGTTGGTTGCCCTCATTCGATGGATACCAAGAAAAATTCGACAAAATTCCTTCACGGCAGCTTATCCCTGGAGTCGACAGCTGACGGCAGATCATCAAAGAACGACCACATGGAATAAATTTCAGTATCAGGTTTAGTTGTTGTTTTGAGGCTTAAGTTAAATTGTGTGTGTGTGTGTGTGTGTGTGTGTGTGTGTCACGGAGAGTAGGTTACAAGCTATCTTCCCCAGTCACGTTTAAAAGCCTAGGTCTGTTTACAGTGATATGTTTACCCTCTTTACAATACTTCCTTTTAAACTCTCGGTATATTTACAAACAAACATAACTATTAATATTCTAAAAATTTTAAAGAGTTATACATTGCTCCAACACCACCTCTTCTCCCTCTAAGACCTGAAAGTAAACATTATATATATATACACAGATTAATCGATACATAATAACCAGATTTTCATACATAAAATATCTCACGCGTTATTAGAGTCAATGTATCATACGTTATTGTGTTTATAGATTAGGTTTAACTTGTCCAAACACTTGATTTACAACACAATAACTGGAGAGACGCTGCATGGTGGCTATACTTCAACTAAACCACTCGCACGATGTTAACTTTTGGCTTCAATGTTAACCCTTTTAAAATGATGGTTTAACCTTTTGAGGGTAATGGTTTAACTCTTTGAAGATGATAGTTTAATCACCTTTAGGCAATGGTTTAAACCCTTTGAGGAACATAGTTTAATCTTTGAAGACGATAGTTGTTTAACCCCTTAGAGAACAATAAATTAGCCCTTTGAATAATAGTTTTAATCATTTCAGGGATATGGTTTAACCTTTTCAAGATGACGGCTTAACCCTTTTGCATACGCTGTATTAACCCTGTTAGGACGACAATGTTGAGGAAAGGGTATGGGCAATGGACAGTAAAGTGACCACAGATTCCACGTTGACTCACCACAATGCGCTCGGAACTATAAAAATGGCTGAACCGATCGACAAATTTACAAGCCATGCAACATTAATTTGTTCAGTAAAGCTATCTGTAAGAAATTCATCGACGTTGAATTAAAATAAATCGGAAGTTTAAGTCGTATAATTTTGCTGACGTTATATAATAAATGTTAGTTTATGCCGTATAGTTTCGTTGACACTGTAATATTCTATCAGTTAATTTACGATGACAGTTTTTGACAACTCTTAACTAAACGCCGGTGAACACGACACAACAAGTTTAAGAGAAGAGCTGATGGAAGTTGTGAACCGCACTCCAATACGGTACTTCATCCTGGGACAAAAAGACGTGATGATGAGCCTAAACACCTGTGGGAGGGGACACACACACCTTAATCATTACTGCAGCACAACACCCATCTGCCCTCTGCTCCCTTATGCGTGGGCACTCAGGGACACACATGGGCACTCAGGGACACACATGGGCACTCAGTGACACACGTGGACGCTGAGTCACACGGTCACTGAACACAACGAGACACCTATGTGTGGGCCGGTGGGTGTGTCCCCCGCATCATACTACAAGGATATGAGTACTCACATGTGTCGTGGGTGAAGAGTATGGACTTGGCCTCAGCTACAGAGCAGAGAGGCTCGTCCTGCTCCAACAACTTTGTGAGGAGCATGTCACAGATGCCCTCCAGGGAGGTCTCCACAATGTCCAGCGCCAGCGTCGCCTGGGACAGGAAGTGCGCGATGTCCATGGAGGCACGCACCTCCGACCCGAAGTCCTTCATGGGAACTTTCTGTAAGGTGCAAGCGAGGAGTTGAGTGATAGCCTCATTCAGGGTAACAAGACCAGTGTCACACAGGAGGTCATGGGGGGTGGAGGGAAGGAGAGGGGCTGTCGAGGAGGAGGTTGTCATGGAGGAGGTGGTAACAATAGTCGACGACGTAACGGTCATCGTCGATGTCGCCTGGGCAGAAGTGCAGCTGTTAGGGAGGGCGGGGGCGCCTCCCCCTATATGGGTCATCTCCACCTGTACAGATGGTCCTCGGCGAGGTAAGACACCAGCCGAAGGAGGCATCTCGTTACTACCATGGCGGCTACCAGGGGCAGACACAGTGCTCTGCCACGACCCATACAGCCTCGCATACGGCAGCGTCAGGGAACACCGACGAGTCGTCACAGCCGCTGCTGCTACCTCGCTGGTCAGAGGTTTCTTTTTGATAGCGTGAGGTGGGATGATGGGAATAATCTGTGTCATCCCTGAAATATCGGTATGGCAGGAGCTGCGTCGCTTGCGGCGAGCATCTTGCGGCAGGTGCGGCACCGAAGTGGACGGGATCGAGTGTGAGCGAGAGTTGTTGCTGCCTGAAGATCTTTCCAGATCCTCCGGCTCCTCCCTGACGGTGTGCCAGTCATCTGGTATTTCGGAAAGACCAACACCACGCTCATCCCGCCCACGAAAGAGCCCCAGCACCGCCGCCAGCGAGTGCTGACGGATAAGGCGGTGCGGGGGCGGCACCCGTGGGCTACGCGAGTTCCCTTGGCCGCTCTTCGCCCCTCCGGTAGAAGACAAGAACTTGGTCATTGCGCCGCCGGTGGTGGTGCTGCCGCTGACGGTGACGCTCACAGGTGTACTGGAGGTCACGGGTGCGTTGGCAGGCGCCTGGGAGGTTTTGGTGGCAGGGGCCTGGGAAGTTTTGGTGGCAGGGGCCTGGGAAGTTTTGGTGGCAGGGGCCTGGGAAGTTTTGGTGGCAGGGGCCTGGGAAGTTTTGGTGGCTTGGGGGCCTGGGAGTTTGGTGGCAGGGGCCTGGGGAAGTTTAATTGGCAGGGGCCTGGGAGTTTTGGTGGCAGGGGGCCTGGGAGTTTGGTGGCAGGGGCCTGGGAGGAGTTTTGGTGGCAGGGGCCTGGGAGTTTTTGGTGTGAGGGGGCCTGAGAGTTTTGGAGGTGGCAGGGGCCTGGGAAATGGTGGTGGCAGACGCCTGGGGAAATGAGGCAGTGGCAGGGAGCCGGGGAGATCTTGAGTGGCAGGTGCCTGGAAAATTTGGTGGCAGGAACGGGGGAGGTCTTGGTGGCAGGGGCCTGGGAGTTTTGGTGGCAGGGGCCTGGGAAGTTTTGGTGGCAGGGGCCTGGGAAGTTTTGGTGGCAGGCCTGGGAAGTTTTAGTGGCAGGGGGCCTGGGAAGTTTTGGTGGCAGGGGCCTGGGAAGTTTTAGTGTCAGGAACCAGGGGAGGTCTTGATGTCAGGAACCAGGAGGTCTTGATGGCAGGCGCCTGGGAAATGGTGGTGGCAGGCGCCTGGGAAATGGTGGTGGCAGGCGCCTGGGAAATGGTGGTGGCAGGCGCCTGGGAAATGGTAGTGGCAGGAGCCGGGGAGATCTTGGTGGCAGGTGCCTGGAAAGTTTTGGTGGCAGGAACCGGGGAGGTCTTGGTGGCAGGCGCCTGGGAAATGGTGGTGGCAGGAACCGGGGAGGTCTTGGTGGCAGGCGCCTGGGAAATGGTGGTGGCAGGAACCGGGGAGGTCTTGGCCTGACCACCTTTAGCGGCGCCCGTGCCCTTGGCCGGGGAACTTTGGTCTCTGGCCAGCAGAGGACTGCCGGGGCTCGGAGCCTTCGTTGGAGAGCCCCTAATGGGGGACCTCCGCCCACCACTGGGGCTGGCGGGTGGTGGTGGCAACTTTGGAGTTGGGGAGACACAAATCGGTGGTGTACTCTTCTGTGGGCGTGGGGATGACATGGGTGAGATGCTGCTCTTAGGTGCCCCTCGGGGCTGAGAGGAAGCAGAAGTAGGAAGAGGCAAGCTGGGACCCCCGGCACCGTGGGTGGGCACTGTCCGGGTAGAGTCTGGTGTGCCACGGGCGGCGCTGTTATTGGCGGGTCGCTTGCAGGGAGGAGCGGGGTCTGGGGTGGACATGGTGTCTGGCGGCACGACGCTCTCCATCAGGACGCCACACGGCAGCATCACTGTCGCACTCTGGCCACGCCGTCCTCATCGCCCGTCCGCGCCCCACAACATCCTTCTCGCGCCGCACTCGCCACCACACTGACCCTCGCACCCTCCCTCTCGCGCACCCATCCCTCGCGCACGCTCCTCACGCATTTCTGCACGCATTCCCGCAACCCATTCAACCCCCCTTCTCAATCACCACACTGTCATACCATCCAACCTAAACCATGGTTATAATGACCCATATTCCACCCAGAACAACCGCACAATTAAGGCGGCTCATTCACAAGGCGGGTCGCGCACGGTCACCACCACTACCACCATCACCACCACCACCACCACCACCACCACCACCACCGCCGCCGCCGCCGCCGCCGCCTTCACCACCCTCACCTCCACCTTCACCCTCACCACCACCACCCTCACCTCTACCACCACCCTCACCTCCACCTTCACCCTCCCGCACACACTTTCTCACCTCTACCACCACCTCACCTCCACCCTCACACTCCACCCTGCCTCCACCTCTACCACCACCCTCACCTCTACCACCACCCTCACCACCACCACTCTCCACCTCTACCACCACCCTCACCTCCACCCTCACACTTGCCTCACCTCTACCACACCCTCACCTCTCACCACCACCCTCACCTCCACCCTCACCTCCACCACCTGCCTGCCTCCTCCATACACCCTTGCAGGCAAGCACTCCTGCACTCTGGTATCCCCAGTAACCTCCCACACACTCTGGTATCCCTCTTCAGTAACCTCCCCACATACTCCTGAGTATCCTCCCCACACACTCTGGTATGCACCCACCCAGTAACCTCTCACAATGGTATCCCTCCCACACTCTGGTATTTTCCCCAGTAACCTCCCTACACACTCACTGGTATCCCTCCCACAGTAACACTCTCACAATGGTATCCCTCCCCCCACACTGGTATTTTTCCCCAGTAACCTCCCTACACACTCTGGTATCCCTCCCACAGTAACCTCTCCACAATGGTATCCCTCCCCCACACTCTGGTATTTTCCCCAGTAACCTCCCTACACACTCTGGTATCCCTCCCACAGTAACCTCCCCACAATGGTATCCCTCCCACACACACTGGTATTCTCCCCAGTAACCTCCCCACACACTCTGGTATTCCTCCCACAGTAACCTCCCCACACACTCTGGTATCCTCCTCCCCGCCCCCACTCTGCATGGGAACCACTCAGTCATCCACCCAGCCACACTCCACAACCAGGTCGATCAATACACCCACTTCATAAAACCACAAACACACGTCATTAAAACTTAACACATCATTAGTGACGACAATACAGGTGCTCACGGCTTGGTTCATCAGTTAGCACGGATTACACTCAAGAGTAGTAAACAATTTCTTTATATCTCGGAATCACAACCACAGTAAGCATGTGAGTGAGTGAGTGAGTGAGTGAGTGAGTGAGTGAGTGTTTCATCTTTGCTTCTCTCTTTCCAGGTATTACAATTATAAACTGCATATCTACATACAACACGACAACTCCTCCCGGTAAGTCACCATCCTCACACACGCACACGCATGCACACAGTCTACCGGTAATCACAACAAGGTCATTCTTAGAAGTCATCAAGGTGTTCAGATTTCCCGATGAGAACACGACCTTTGACCTCGCGGAACTAAGTGGCACCCCTTGACCAACTTCCTTAGGCATGTGACCTCTTATCCACCTGTCTGTCTCTTAGATCTGACGTCATTCAAGTGACCTCGATCAGTTCAACCTGTAAGCTTGTTCTTCTCCAGGTGAATTTTTGAGCTTGAGTGGTCGTGTAGTTGACCTTTGGATTTGACCTTTCGCCTCGGTGACCTTTTACACATGACCTCCTCCCGCCGGCTGACTACCTCGTCCTCACAGTGCAATAGGAGGCATGACGGGCAGGTGGGGAGGGGAAGGGGGGAGGGGAGAGCAGGGCAGAAACGAAAGGAGGAGGAGGAGGAGGAGGAGGAGGAGGACCATCAATAATACAACATTCCATAAAAAAAGGTATTAACTGTTAGCCAAGTCATATCAATATATCATTTAATATTACACAAACATTTATATTATTGCTCATATTAAAACATTATATTAAACCTTAGACATATATCAACAAGGACAAGATCACTAAAATATTTCAACACAAGAGGAACTTATACAAGAGGAACAACACAAGAGCAAAAACATGACCCTTGAAACACTTAACTATTGAGAGCTTCCTTAACTATCAAAGCCATAAATGCATAAATTAGTCAACCTATTACATGTATCGACGCCTGAAGAATGGAAGGTCTTACTCGAGGAAGATTAAGCAGACGTAGTTAGGCGCTATACCACAGTTTCACATGTGAGCACAATACTGTTTATGGTACTTGTGTATGTGTGTATCTATGTGTATCTATGTGTAACTATGTGCATCTGTGTGTGTGTGTGTGTAAACATTGAGTATCGTGAGGTGAGGTTTGTGAGGGTCTTTAGCTGTCCCTCCCGTTAGTTCCCTGAAAAGAAGAAAGTTTTTTTGGGGAGATCAATCGATAATCTTTTTCTGTGGCAAATGTTCAAAAACCCTTCTGATGGAGTTTTAACTTATTCTATACATATGGAAATGTTTTCATCTTCAGGCCAGACTGGATGAAATAGCATGTATTATATCCATTGTGACAGACATTCATACGTGCAATATTTACAAAAAAATTATGTATTGTAGCATTCCCTTCCTCCCTTCCGGCTATCTATACCAACACGACCTATGACAAAAAATATCAATAATTCCCTTTGTGAATATCTATACCAGTAGTTATCAACGTCAGCTCGCTCCTGTCCGGGTGAACGAGCAAACTTGCTGATATCTGGAAACCGGAAAGGCAGGCACTGTGTATAACGGTGTTTACAGAACCCCTTGATGTTCGTGTTTACAGAGTCCCTTACTGTTCATATTTACATTCACTTGATGTTTGTGTTTACATTTTCTTGGTGTGTTTTCAGAGTTTCTTACTGTTCGTATTTACAGTTCCTTAATGTATGTGTTTACAGAGTGCCTTGATGCTCGTAATTACAGTTCCTTAATGCATGTGTTTACAGAGTTCCTTAATGTATGTGTTTACAGAGTCCCTCGATGCTCGTATTTACAGTTCCTTAATGTATGGGTTTACAGAATTTCTTAAGGGCGTTACACCTTCAAAACACTGGGATGTACTGTACTCCGTCAACCCTACAGGAGACACATCAGTATTCTTCACCACGTCCTCTGCAACACCTCCCTCGGGTGGAATTGTAAAATGACGCATCACGGCCGTCCACCACCCGTCCTTTACAATTCCACCTGCCAGTCTGAATCAGGGTGAACGTGGTTTATAGAACAGTGGCGTGCTCAAGGTGATGGAATACTTGCTCAAGTTTTGAAGGTGTGACGCTCTTAACTATGTAAACACAAACATCGAGGGACTCTGCAAACACAAGCACCGAGGGGCTCTGCAGACACAAGCACCGAAGGACTCTGCAAACACAAGCACCGAGGGACTCTGCAAACACAAGCACCGAGGGACTCGGCAAACACAAGCACCGAGGGATCCAGTAAACACAAGCACCAAGGGACCCTGTAAACACAAGCACCAAGGGACCCTGTAAACACAAGCACCAAGGGACCCTGTAAACACAAGCACCGAGGGACCCAGTAAACACAAGCACCAAGGGACCCTGTAAACACAAGCACCAAGGGACCCTGTAAACACAAGCACCAAGGGACCCTGTAAGTTGATAGGATAGCCAGATATCGAAAAATACTTCATTATATAAACTAAAATCACACTAATGAAAGATAACGCAAAAAATCTTCTTTATTTTATTTTTTCTAAGCAACAGATAATTGCTCACTCATTCAATGGCCATTAAACAGCACTTAACAATTTAATAACTCGTTAGAGGTGATTAGGAAGTTGTTGATGATGATTACTCGGCTCGGGGACACAACTAAGTAATTTATTCTCACCTGCTAATTATTATCGTTTTTCGTGACGATGAACTAATATATTATAAATAGTTTAAAGGAGAGAGAGAGAGAGAGAGAGAGAGAGAGAGAGAGAGAGAGAGAGAGAGAGAGAGAGACTCCCCACACACACACGTCCTCTTCACAAACCGGAACTAAACCTGAACGTAATGTTAACAAGACCACGACCACTCCTCCATCTTTTTTTTATTAGTGAATTTTCCTTCTTTTTTTTTTTACAACTTCTCTTCAACACTATTGTATCGAGACCTCAAACCTCTACTCCAACTTTCCTAAAAAATATTACATCTCGTGGCTGTAACTATTCTCCATTTTAATTGTAATATTCTCCCTTGGGTTAAATATTACCCTGCAACATGTAATATTTATCTTCGCTATCAATTAAATATCATTATTAAATTCATGACTGTTCCTGGGGACTTATTGTTGAGAAGTGAGCCAATGTGTGGTGGTGGTGGTGTAATGGTTTTAAGCTTCACCAATTACCATTAAGCTAGAGGGAATAATGCAGGGTAAGGAGATGGAGAAGGAGGGAAAGAGAGGAGGGAGAGGGATGGAGAGGAGGGAGAGGGATGGAGAGGAGGGAGGGCAGGGCAGGGCAGGATTGAGAGAAAGGAGGGAGAGATGGATGGAGAAGAGAGAGGGAAGGAGGAGTTTGAGAGGGACATTTGAGAGGGATATTTAGTTCAAAGAATACAGAATACATTGCTTGATTGAATCTTCTTCAGGTTCTTGTGACACAGACATCAAAGACGAGGTTTTGAGAGATGAGTGTCTGGAGTGTCTGATTACTGAGAGATCATGAGGGCGCTGAGAGATCATGAGGGTGCTGAGAGATCATGGGGGTGCTGAGAGATCATGGGGGTGCTGAGAGATCATGGTGATGCTGAGAGATCATGAGGGTATGAGGTCACTGAGAGGTCATAAACATAAAAATAAGGGTATGAAGCTAAGGAGAGGTCATCATTACTATAAAAAT